GTACAGCTAGTGCTTTTTCTTTTTATTACTAAATATCACACCTCACATAGTTTTAAAATGTCATAGTTTTAAAGTTCAACTTAAAAGGAAGTTCTTGCACTGGAAAAAAGGTACTGCACACATACTGGGAAATAGGATTCTGATGTTCTCAATTCATTTATATTCTACTTCTCTAGCTGAATAAAGTGCATGATTTTGAGTTTTAAACATCTTGATGATGCAAGACTGAATGATGCTGTTCATTGCTATAATTTTTAGGCCAGATCACACGTTTGAAGAGAAGGGGATAGAAGAATGGGAAAATTTGTGTAGCAGGGTGATTTTCAGAAAACAGCCATTGTTTGAAGCTCCACTGCTTCAAACACAGCAGACAGAAGGTACAATGGACAAAGGAGATCACAAATTCAATATCTCCTAGTTTTATAAATGTGCTACCTAGACTGGACTTTTCACTGCACAGCATGGGGAGGATGCAGAGGAGAGGGGGAGTGTATTTGCGGTAGTTCTGTATAATTGTTTAGATGGCACCAAGGTGGAATACCAGCATTACTTACACAACCAGCTGGCCACATCCCAACAACACCGGCACCTTATGTTCACAGAAGTTTGCAGCTAAAAGCCTTACCAGCTCCTCATGCACTATTCGTATCAGAATAAGACTGTTAACATAGCCTATATTTTGTTTTAACTTCTCTTTACTCATTTTACCTTTGATAAGGTTATTTACACATTTCAGACTACTCAGGCAAACTTCTAATCCTCTGTCCTGTTCCACTAGCTCCACCGTAGGCAATATATAGTCATCAAAAGAACTAATGACTACTGAGAAAAAAGGTTACTGTCAACAGATAGATGCCAAACTTAGATTACAAATTGTAATCACACAAGAAGCTCCATAAAAGTCACTAGGGCTACTCATAGGATTAAAGACTCAGTAAATTACTTTTTTATGTAAATACCCACTTTTTAAAATAACAGCAGATAAATACAGGCAAATCACAAGAACTATTATTCTGAAACAGATTTTTTTTTAAATCTTGCCCCTTAGGCATTAACATCTGCTTAATTCAAAAATTATACTCTGATATCAAAGTAACTGTACAGTATGCTTCTCACTATTTCACAGCTTCATTTCCATGAGTTACATAGCTCTATGATCTTTACTAGAGATAGTTGAAGGCAAGATATTGTTTATACAGAATATCAATTCTTATTTTAATAAAGTTATTTGTAGTGAAAATGTTTGACAGCTTTTCCTTTGAGGACTCTGTTTTGCAGTTTAAGTCATTATTGCATAAATCATTCTTGACAGCTGTAAAATATTGCTTGAGGTAGTAAAGCTGTGAAGCTTTTGACATAAAAAGTATAATTATTTAGAGATTGAGAATGGATATGTGATAATCAGAAAGGATTGTACCACATTGAATACTTTTTTACTTCCTACTCTGTGCTTTGCAGACAACAGTAGACTACATCTAAGCATTTAGCCTACAGAGTATACTTGTTAGAAGGAAGGAAGATGATCACTTAACCTTATTCAATAAACATCAGATATTCTAGGCATGAGAAGTTCTACAGAAGGATATAGGTTTGAGTAAAGGTAAGATCAGTAGCAATAGTTGCAGACTGTTTACATCTCACAGAGCACTTGTCTTTTATCACCGGTTTGTCTTCTATCAATTAAAAAAAAAAAAAAGCACCTGAAAGCAACTGAAAGACCCTTGTATGTATGGCTAGCTCCTTTAGATTAGTTCTAACATGAGGGTCAGTCAGTGTGGTTTTGACTGTAGGCTCAATGCCTTAACCAGAGCTGATGAGAAACAGAGGACAATGAATCGAGGCATTCGGTAACATCCTGCTGCTGTAGGAGTTCTTGGTATAAGAAATACTATCTGAGTGCATGTTGATAAAGAAAGGTTAATCCCTTTACCAAACAAACTGTCTTAGCATGAGTTTTCCCAACCATTCTTAAAGAAAAAGAAATCTCAGAACAATTCCAGAATGTTACTAAAGGTGCTGAACTATTTGAAATGGATGACATTTCTTCATGTCTGTAGTG